TTCACATCATACTTAAATTAACATGGCTAAACCAATTATGACAACTGAATAAATTATCAATATTAATAAAGTTCACGTTTACACCATGACGTATGCAATCATCAATAAACTCTAAGTTTATTTTGATACGGGTTTTCATATCAATAAACTACTATTTTATTGTGGCATTCTTCTGTTTGTGTAGTACAAACTGGAGAATAAAGCGGGTAATTTATCACATACATATTACCCCGCTACAAGTTATAGTAATAGAAGATATTAAATCTTTGCTTTATGTATAGTCTCAATATAACCAACCGTTTTCGCGAATTTTAGAAACTAAATAAGTTTCTTTGAGACTTACTACAATATAATGCCTTATTGGTAATCAATTGTATTTTTTCAAAATAGTATAATTGGCTCTTGCAGAGTTCTCAATTAATTTTATACTACCACATATTCATCAACATCCATATGGTGAATATCTCTTTTAAAGAGAAAGTTATACCATTATGGTTATGATCAAAATTATATGCAAGATATGTTTCTTGCATTACCGTTTTCTTTTAATAATCACATTGCCAAAATATTTTGGCGTACAATAAGTACGTGACCAATGACCATTTATGGCATGACATTATTTTCTTATTTCATCTTAAACCTCCCTCTAGAGGTGAGTGTGGTATATTCACTACCACTAGCACGTTCATATTCTTCCAAGAATGAATATATATTCATAAATCAGATGTTGTCACATTCACATCATGAATGGACCATAATCATCTATATGTGCTTTACAAAATCTTATGTCAAATCGATGACAAATATTACTTTTATAGAGTAAAGGATTATTTTGAGAATCCTTATTATTCTAATTACCACAATGAGACGATTGTAATTTCGTCTATTGTCACGTCAACATCCATTGGTACCTTTATGGTAATAATTTTATCTTTTTTCAGACGTATCATATATTGCTATCACATTCTCTTAAGGGAATGAGAATGAAGCAAATTCAATGGGACGAGTTTTTACTTCTTTGCCCACAATCATACATGAATTTGATCATGGCAAGATAGAGAAATTTTACCACTTCGAGTGGTTATAATTTTTTACAAACTCTATTAGAGTTATAATCAAAATTTTGTTGTCTTTGCTTGTATATAAAATCAAATTATAGGATTCAAAAATTTGAAAGAGAAAAATAAAGTAAAATACTTACCTTAAATACAGAATTTAATCATGAAGAAAGTTTATGGAACAATTGACAATCATTATGCTCAATCGCAAAATTTCTATTCAATTAGTTAGAGTCTCGTGTTGATAACGTGTTATTAAACAATAAAAGAAGAAGAACAGTATTGCAAAAAAAAGTAGGGAGAGAGAATTCATATTGATTTGAGGTGATTTACAATGGAATAGAACCTCTCTATTTATAGGGAAAAAGTGACTTAATCACCAAGTAACAAACCCTAAGATCTCTCTAAAATATAGACATTCACCTTAAATAGAATTCTATTTATAATCAAATCTAAATAGATTGTGTTTTATTCCCCTTACCTCTTTCATATTTCCACTCTTAATAGATTGTAATGTCCCAAAATTTAGGACTTCCAACGTATTTCATTTAAATAAGGAAATATTTTAGTAAATAAATATATAGTTGCATTCGAAATTGTTTTTAAGATCTAAATATTAGAAAAATAATCATATAACAATTTTGTCCAATATGAAATTAATTTTTAAGGTAAAAAGACGAACGGCATTTCGCTAAAGGCCTTCATACTTTTAATATAACTAGTGTTTATGGTATAAACGTATTAATAAGTATAAAATTTAAAAAGAATTACATAAATTGAAAATTATTTTTATGTTATTGTAAAAGAAATATTTAAAAAAAAAGGTATAAATTTTTAAAAATAATAATTATTGTATCCTATTTATCTAACAACTCAATTTAGGAAGAAATGTTGCACTATGTATCTTCCTATTAATATGCAGTATTATGAGTGTGCTTTTATTTTAGAACTCATATATTACATGTTTAGTAACAATTTTTATATACTTTTACTTATGTAAGGTATGTAACTTTCGTAAGTTCGAATATTTACATTAGTGCTCAATTTGATGTGTTTATTCCAATTGAAGTGGTAGAATCTAAATAGAATTTAAAATTTTAATAATAGGACTGTCCATCTAATTTAAATTAGGAAGGATTAAATAAATAAAATTTAGTTGATTTCAAAAACCCAAGAATTAGGGAAAAATTTAAATGTTCTTAGAAAAATAATAAAATGACTATTTTGTCTAGTGTAAAACTTATTATTAAAGGGTAAAAAAAGAAAATAATATTTCTTTAGGGGGCTTCGTGCTTATAATAATAATAATAATAATAATAATAATAATAATAATAATAATAATAATAATAATAATAATAATAATAATAATAATAATAATAATAATAACATAAATTCTTTTAGTTGTGAAATAAAATCTCATTAACGGCGTGAATGAAAGAAAGATGTGAGCAATCCTCTTCGATTCTGATTATTCTACTTAATTGTTGTTTTTCTTTATGTATTTTGAAAGTAGCTGTTTTAGTTTTAGCCAGTCAAACTCTCAATATTCCTTTTTATTTCTCATCAGACAAATGACAGTTTCTTATGAAAATAGTAACTATTCTTAGTATGAAATCTCATTACTTTTACTCAACCCAGCATGAAACATATGATTGTATAATGGGATATGATTGAAATAATTAATGGAGACTCAAACAATGAATATGCAAGTATGATAATTTATATGATTCTCCTATATCTATATGAATTAGGAACTTGCTTGCATTTTATTAGTTGGTTTCAACATTAAGAAGAATTATACACAAAAGATTCATTTTTGGCTCTCTCTCTTTAGAATTGTCGCGACTCAAAATTCACTAGTTGTTATGGCACCTAACCCAACCCGCTAGGTAATCCAACTAATAATTATCCAATTTCAATAACATTAACGAAGCAATTAAGTAAAAAAATATTTGAATCTGATACATTTCCCAAGGACTGGTAGTACAAATCATGAGCTTCTAAGAATAGAGTTTATAAAGCTAGTATGAAGTAAATACAACATATGTCTGGAAAGTACATAAACAGAGTTCTATGAATCTAAGGCTACCATGAACAAGAGGCAGCTACAACTGGAACGCATGTACGTCTTCAAGTCCAGCTCCCATCGAACACAGCAACATCATCAGTCAACACCTGCACGCAAGGTGCAAAAGCGTAGTATGAGTACAACCAACCTCATGTACTCAATAAATAACAAACATAACCTTGAGTTGCAAGTAGTGACGAGCTGGAACATAGGTCGGGTCCAACACCAATAACCAACAGCAGTTCATAACAATGTAAAGCAAATAATAAAAGAAATAACTCGAAATTCAAATTGCGCAGCTTATTCAGAATTCTCGAAAATAATTCCGCTTTTCAAGTATATCAGTGAAAACCCAAATCCTTTATCGAAATAGTCGAAAATATGAGTAAGTTTGAAAACTGTATCTTTTTACAAAAACCTTTCAACAGGTAAATGTTTTATTTTCAGATAGCATGACGAAAGTACATCTCTATGCCTACATGTGAAGATACAGGTAAAAGCATGAATGTCACCAAAATCGGGCAGTAGAAGGAAATGCATCTCTATGCATGTATCTCAAGTACGCAAGTCAAATGCAACGCCTCTCCGTGATCAACTCATGTACCTACACTCTCAGAGTACTCAATCTCACTATCTCGCATTTCTCTCTTACCGTGCTCAATACTCAGCACACCCAATCACTCAGCATTGTATAATACTCGTTGCGGCGTATAACCCGATCCACATATATATAGCCATAAGGTTCGTTACAGTGTGCAACTTGTTCCATATACATATAGCCATAAGGCTCGTTGCGGCATGCAACCCGATCCATATATATATAATCAATTGCGCTCAATGGGGTGCATGCAAACTCCGGAGGGACTACTTCAGCCCAAGCGCCATATCGCTACGGCGTGTAGCCGATCCCATAAAATGTAATTAATATAACATGCTGTCACACCTCCTTTTTACCTACACCCTGGGAGGGATATATAAGGGAGTTTTTCCAATTTAAGTGACAATCGAAACGGAATTATTTATTAGATTCAGAGTCGCCACTTGGGATGATTTATGGTGTCCCAAGTCACCGATTCAAATCCCGAATCGAGGAAAGATTGACTCTGTTTTACAGTCCGCGAACACAGAAATCCGGGTAAGGAACTTTGTTAACCCGGGAGAAGGTGTTAGGCATTCCCGAGTTTCGTGATTCTAGCACGGTTGCTCAACTATTATAATTGGTCTATTATCTGATTTTAAAACATGTTTAAACCTGTGTGCATTTTAACTTTTGAAAACCGCTTTTAGGAAGATTCAACGTTATTTAAAACACGCCTTAAACCACGCCACATGAATTGCATCCGCGGTTCGCGACACGTTTTATTTAATGTTGTTAAGAATTGAAATTGCGTCACATGAAATGCACACCCAAATTTAATAAATAAAAGAAAATCAATTTCGATAGCGCACCTAAAGCACACTACGATATTCATCAATTATTTCCTAAATTAATTTTGGATTATATGAGAGCATCATATTATGGAAATGAGCTTGTTGGAACCAAACCTTGCTGGGTCGATGCGAAGATAACGTTCATATTCTAAGATGACAATTGACTCCTAGAAATTGAAAGAAGCCAACATCCAAATCTCCAGCTAACATGCTTTAATTTTGCTGGCTAAGTTTTTGATTTGACATAACAATTAAATCGTGAGGGGGGGGGGGGGTTAATTTAGTCTTGTCTGCCTACATCTGGGCTTATGAATCCATATTGAAGAGGCCCAAAAGCTTGGTTTTAAGATTAGAGTTCATGAACTCCAATTAACATGACTCTATACCCATAAGCCTATGTGTTGCCTACAGTAAATCCATATGTTTATATCATACTCACCGTATAGTACAATTTAAATGACCAATTTAACACCGTAATTCTACATTAAGCAAATGATCTCTCAATACACTACAATTATCTTTGGGTTCAAATTCATCCACACAAGAATTATAAAATACATCAATGGTCTCTAAAATCAATTAAGGACAACATTCATGCTCTAATTAGAAATGAAAGTCCTCTATATGTATCTTCGAAAGTTCTGTTTTTAACTTGTAGCTATTCAACTTTGCACAAATGCATATTCCATAAAAAAAAGGCCATTTTCCTTTGTTTCAAAATGGAATCTCATTTAGTCCTGGCATCTCAAACTAATCTGCATTTTTAGCACACAAAGGAAACACCCATATTTCAACAATTCAATTTCGAATTTAACAGCATATAACTACTGATGTGATACACAAATCAAATTTTAGCCAAAACATGTGGGGTTCAACATATTTTTAGTCACAAAAACACTGCTAACAATCTCTCCTTAATAGGCAAAACAATGAAATTTTGTGCAGTTACCATATTGAGGCTAAACAATTAATTTGTGTTCTAAACTAACCAAACAGTAAACTTAAACACTGCAGCAATTAATTTCCAAGAAAAGAAAAGGGAAAGAAAACTCACACTTCAACATAAATCAGAACTAAAGATACAAGTGAAGAGGTATGTACCTAGACTTGCAACTGAAACTGAGATGCTTGCCAAATAAAGGCTTGAGAGTAGCTAAGCAGGCTTTAAACAAGAGCCGAGTACAAACAGAGCATGATGAACAGCAGAACAGGAACAATAACAAACAGCAATCTTCAGAGGCTTTGCACTCGAATTACTCTTTGGAACCCGGAAATTTCATGATGAACACACATTGATTAAAAACCTTTGAGAGTCCCAATTGAATCCTACCATTCTTTAACTTCAAAATCCTCGCTCATCTTTCTTTACTTTTTTTTTTTTTGATTCTTTTTCGGACTTCTAGTTGAAGATTTCTAGCTTTGAATTTAGTTGTTACTGTGTGTAAGTCGTGTGTATGATTTTGAAAAAAAAAAATGAAGAAGAAGAAAGAGGGGGAGGTGCGCCGTTTCTCTCTCTAGGCGAAGGATCTAATGGATTTTTTTTTCTCCCCCTTTAGGTTTCCTAATTATATTTTATATGTAGGGGTAGGGTAAAGGGGAATGGGTATTCGGATAGTGGTATTGGAATTGGGTTGGAGTTTAAAATTAATTTGAGCCTTTAGGAATTGGCCTAATTTTACAAGACAAACCCTTTTTTTTCAATTCTTTCTTTTATTTTCTAATATTTCCTTTTCTTTTAATTAAAATCCTACAAATTAAAAATCTTAAATTATCCAAAAGTGTGAAATTAAACTAATTAGCTAATTATAAAAATTAAAAATAATACTTAATTCTATAAAAGAGAAAAATCAATAAGCTAAAAATTAAAAAACAAAAAATGTAAAAATGAGCTATTTTTTGTGATTTTCGAATTTCTATATGACAAATAATTACTGGTTAATTCTAAAAATGTAAACACAGATTCTAAATGCAATGCATGATATTTTGGTATTTTTTATTTAATTAAAGTAAAAATGCATAGACAAAATGCAAACAATTGACAGAAAATGCCACAAAAATCCACAAAATTGCAAATAATGGAAAAATTATTTTATTTTGAATTTGTGGGAGTAATTCATATAGGACAAAAATCACGTGCTCACAGCTGCCCCTCTTTGCTCGGAAACACGAAGAGTTTTCGTGCAAAGATAAAGTGAGTGGATACGAGCGATTTTTGCTCGTTTGAATACTCCGTGGGAAGCATTTTTGAAAGGTTTGATCGCACCCTGCTTCCGATGTTGCCTACATATCCTTGGCTATAAAGGAATCAGGTCAGTGTAGTTCAGGAAGTTTCGGTAGCTGTGACTACCGTGAAGCTGTGATTTCACTATTGCTGCTACTGCTACTGCTTACTGAACTCCTTATTACACCATGACAAAATAAAAGAAGCTAGATTAAACTATGATCTATGCATTACAAGAATCCTATCTATATCTTCAAACTTGATCTTGCAGTTCCTGTTTTTTTGTCGACCCGTACTCTCCACGTGAAATTCCTTTGTTGCTGACTTGAATTGTAATCTGAGATACTTTCCTTTTTCTCTAGGTGGACGCTTGATTGCTGAACTTGAACGTCTTCATTCGAACATTGCTGCTTTCCCTTCGTTCTTCAGGTGGGTTTCTGATTACCAACACTTGAATTATTGCTTTGTTCTCCAAGTGGGCTCCTGATTACCGACGCTTGAATTGCTTTGTTCTCCAGGTGGGCTCCTGATTGCTGAAGTTGAACTGTATTCCCGTGCTCTCCAGGTGGGCGCCTGATTGCTGAACTTGAACTGTATTCCCGTGCTCTCCAGATGGGCGCCTGATTGCTGAACTTGAACTGTATTCCCATGCTCTCCAGGTGGGCGCCTGACTGCTGAACTTGAATTGTATTCCCGTGCTCTCCAGGTGGGCGCTTGACTGCTGAACTTCAATTGTATTCCCGTGCTCTCCAGGTGGGCGCCTGATTGCTGAACTTGAATTGTATTCCCGTACTCTCTAGGTGGGCGCCTGATTGTTGAACTCGAACTGCTTATCCCTGTTCTCCAAGTGGGTACTTGATTTCAACAAAATAGACAAAACAATGGAAATTTTCTGCCCCAATTTGGTAGCTGGGCGCATCTGTGAGTGTTAAATTGAATCATGTTACCAAACATTATCAAGAATTTGAAAGCTAGATCCCGTTATCCAGGAGGATCCTAACAACTCCTATTTAAATGACAATTTTAAAGCTAAATTATGTCTTCTGAAGGTATGTCTTATGCTAAGTCTTGTTATCCAAGCAAGTTTTAAAACTACATTCCATTATCCATGAGGGTCTTGAAAACTCCTAATTGAATCCTATCTTAAACATGCAAACTTTGTAGCCAACTCCTCATGCCAGTAGGAAATATACTCGTCAAACTGTGGTAGAAACCACTGAGAACTCTTCGAAACCTATTTGCACATAATCAAGCCATCAGAACTAAATCTCACTAACTTAACCAAGCCACGCAGGTCACCAAAAACCCAAGAGTATTGCCACGAAACACCTGTAGAAACCTACCACATCATAAGTACCCAAAGAACCGATCATACCCATTACCGTGCTGATCAAACCTATTACCAAGTTGTCCTAATTCTCTGAGTTCCTCCCGAATTACCTTCAAATTGATACTTCTCCTCGCCATAATACCACAATCCTTAACCAAAACTCGCTGTGAGCACGTGATTTTTGCCTCACGAAAAATACTCTAAAATAAATAAAAAATAAAACAAAATTCTCTCAGTATGCAATTTTTAGAATTTATGTGGCGTTTATTAATTGTTTGTGTTTTGTCCGTAAATATTTGCTTTGTTATAATTAAACGAAAGTAAAATAAAAATACATGCTACGTGCATATCTAGGATTTAATTATGCATTTAAAAGATAATTAAAAGAAAATCACAAAAATATGCATTTACCTTATGTTGGTCATTTAATTATGTCATTGTGTGATTAATGTTTTGTCTATATGTTAATAGTTGTTAAAAGGTAATTAATATTTTTTGTAAGGGTAATTTTGTTTTTATAATTAAAAGTAGGAATTTAATAATTAGGAGTAAAATTAGGAAATGGAAAATAGGTAAAAATTTCGGACCTAGGCTGAAGTCCAGGCCCAAACAAATCAACTTCCCCACAGCCCAATCCAAACACCCATGTCCGGTCCAATTCAATCATACCAAACGACGACGTTTGGTCATATTTCATCAAGGGCCGTTGGATTAAATCAATCCAATAGTTGATATTTCACACCCCTTACCCGTAACCCCTACCCGATCCATTGCCCGGGCCGACCCTTTTCCCCCAACTTAAATCAAATGACATCGTTTGGTTAAGTGAATTGATCTTGACCGTGGATCGTGTTTGATCTGACGGTCAAGATCAATCCACCCCACCCCTATAAAAGCCTAAATCCTGACCCAACCCCCCAAATCAAATACCCCACCCCCTGTGTCCTGTTCATCATCTCTTTCAAAGAGGTCAGATGAATTCCACCGTCCACCACCGTGCACCGCCCACCGGAAATCGCCTCACGGCGGTTCCGGTGGTCCAAACAACCCCACCTTAACACCCTCGACTCCTCACAACCCCCTCTTTACGGATCTGGTATTAGTTTCCTTCGAATCAGATCACATAGTCTCGAATCTTCAATTGAAGGTTGGTCTGAAAATCCAACTTTCTCCGATGGCCTCCAAATTAACACCACAGTCTCCCCTGTCCATCCTCATCACGGATCTGTTAATAGCATGGTTCGAATCCTCCTGGAACTGCTCGAATCTTCATTTGAAGATTCGAGTGAAACCTAACCCTACCCCAACCTGCCTCAAATTCACACCAGTTATCCACCTGACCTCCCTCATGCCTAAAATACCATTGGTTGGGTTCGAATATATCCAGAAGTGTTCGAATTTAAGATCCAAAAATCAGAAACCCTAAAAATTTCAAAACATGGAATTTGCCCGAATTAAATGAGGGATTGAGGTCTAAGAGACTTTAATCGAGGTATTCTAAATTGAGAATACTTCGAATAAAGTCTGTTCAGCCTCAAAAATGTCTGAATCCAAGTTGAGTCTATGTCCGAATAAATTTGAATATTCAGAGGTATTTTTCCTATTTCTTTTTGTATTTTATGTGTATATTGTTGTTTGTTTCAGTAGTCTATGTAATTTTCCTGTTTGTTTATTTGATTCTGTCTCATACCCGTCTATTTGATCAAATAAGGGAATTATTTCTGTTGGTTATGATTATTTACAATGTATATAAACGACTCGATTAAGTTAGTCGATTAGTTATATTATGAATCCCCGTTTCTGAAAATGTTGTTTGAAATAATCTGTTTATCTATCTATAATTTGTTTGTTGACAATTGTTGTAGATAGTCAGTTGATTAGTATTTGTCAGTTAAATCATGCTTGTTTGTAATTCAATAAGTTCGTCAAATAGATGTTGTGTATGTTGGTTTCTGGGCAGTAAATTGTCAATATACTGACAATGCCCCTGCATTCATACTTATTTCAAATACAGTTTAAAATATTCTGTTGAATTTTGTGTGATGTTATTGTGATGTTGGGTTTAAATTCAATTCTACAAAGGTTGATTAGATATAATTGTGTTAGAAGGTTGCATTCTCAGTTAAGATTCAGTCCAGGACTTAAGAGAATTGGTTATAGCTGTTTAATCAGAAACCAGGTTGATATTTAAGCTTGAACAGTTTTTAAAATCTATTTTGTATCAGATTTTGATTTTTGTATTAAGGGCAGTAATAACAGTAGGATTTCAGGGGTATTTCTGGCATAGAAACAGTAGGGTAATATGATAATAGTAGTGTGCTGATAGGAGTGATAATGGCTATTACTTAATGAAATAATGGGAAACAAAGGGCAATGGAAGTGCTGAAAACCAGGAAAAGTTTTACTTAATGGGATTTAAAGTAATAAAACAGAATTTTAGTGGGATTTTCTGATTTTAAAAAAAGAAAGAAGTGGTCCAGGCAACACTTAAGAGAAGGGGGGCAGACCTGTATAAGATAGAAGAGCTGGGACTTTGAACAGAGGACCAGAGAACAAAAATCTGAAATAAGAAGACGATAGAAAGAAAGAAAAATAGAAACAGTAGAACAGAATTCTACATCGGAAACTAGTATTGAAGCTGATTCTGCGTTTTGAAATTGAGAGCTTTTCAGTCTGCCTTGTCCTAAGTCTTAAAAATCAGAAATAATGTTTCCCATGAATCCATTCGGATTTGTTTGATCTTATTGTTGGTTCAAAATCTGAATTTTCTTAAAAAGTC